GTATGGTTTAGTTTGGTACGGTATGTCTTAGTATGCCATGGTATGGTTTGGTAGCAAATGACTAGATATATCCAAACAGAAAGCACATAGAATATAATGAAACAAACAAAAACAACTCTGACAAATAGTTCTTACCTTCAGTCTTTCTGCTACGTTTGTCACACTGCTGCTGGAAAACCAGGGTCCAGATAATCCCAGATAATTTGGGGTCAAATCCAGAACCACAGAAATCCCTAAAATGGCAAGAGGAACATTAAGACTGAGTATATTTACAGAAGTTACAAGTTATTTACATTAATTTCATCCATGTGTTGTTTTTCTGAGTCTTTTGAAGGTGTAGAAAACACTGAGTAGAATTTAAAGTGAAGCATCAGGAATCCTGCAGCTCTGCTGACAAACCTTAAAGCGTTGTCTTACCATTCTTGTGAGCTGCATGAATGAAACCTTTAAACTGCTCCAGGTTTCCAGCCTCAGGGGAAATCTCCTCAAACCTCAGACCCATGGCGTCATCACGGGGAGCCACATGTATCGGTCCAAGAACCAAACCTTTCACCTTCAGCTGAGACAAACTGTTCATCTTCTGCTCCACACCTGGAGAAACAGAAACAACTTACCAGTTATGAAGATGGCTTGGCTGGATGGAAGGACAGATGATCAGGAGCTAACCTCCCAGGTTGGGCATGTCTATGAAGACATGGATGGAAGGAAGGATGGATGGATGGATGGATGGATGGATGGATGGATGGATGGATGAGCTGATAACAGATGATCAGGAGATAACTTCCCAGTTTAGGCATGTACGTAAAGACCTGGATGGACAACGGATGGATGGATGGGATGGATGGATGGGATGGATGTACAGACGAACAGATCAGCAGGATCACGAGCTAACCTCTCAGGTTGTGCAGGTCTGTGAAGACCTGGACTTTTCCGATCTGGTACAGGGGTCCATGGTTCCACCAGTTGGTGGGCGGCAGCTCTCTGCAGCCAGGAGCCTGTAGGATGATGAGGACGGCTCCCACCAACATCCCCAACCAGCCGAGCCAGAACACAAACAGGAGTGCCCAGCGGGTTCTGATCCAGCTGAAACACAGAAACTGAATCTGTATCAGACCCTGGCATGTCACAAGTAGGAGGGTGTTTGTGACCACGCCCACCCGGCTCCCGTGATAAGTGAAAAACCACAAAGTAGGGAGACGGTAGTCCATGTTCAAGTTCAGTAAACTTTGTCATGACATGAGCCAGGCTGCAATCACACTCATCACCAGTTACTCCCAGTCTCCCTCCTTAAATAAACCATTTAAATTTAAATAAACAAAAAAGACACCATCTTAGCACCAACATAACTGGTTTGTTCCACTTTGGAGTAAGCTGTCTCTGTCTCTGTCCTCCTGACTGTCTGTATGTCTGTCTCTGTCTTCCAGTCTGT